AAAAGTCATAGAATACTTAGGCATAAAAAGTCATGAAAACGTCATAGTATAGTAAGGCATGAAAAATCATGGAATATTAAGGCATAAAAAGTCAAAAAGTCGTCATGGTATAGTAATGCAAAAAAAGTCATTAAATCATCATAGTATAGTAAGGCATGAAAAGTCAAAGAATACTAAGGCATAAAAAGTCATGAAAAGATCATACTATAGTAAGACATAAAAGCGTCATAGTATAGTAAGGCATAAAAAGTCAAAAAATCGACATGGTATAGTAATGCAAAAAAAGTCATTAAAATGTCATAGTATAGTAAGGCATGAAAAGTCATAGAATACTAAGGCATAAAAAGTCATGAAAAGATCATAGTATAGTAAGTCATAAAAAGTCAAAAAAGATCATAGTATAGTAAGGCATAAAAGCGTCATAGTATAGTAAGGTATAAAAAGTCATAGAATAATAAATCATAAAAAGTCATGAAAACGTCATAGTATAGTATGGCATGAAAAGTCATAGAATACTGAGGCATAAAAAGTCATAAAAAGATCATAGTATAGTAAGGCATAAAAAGTCATGAAAATGTCATAGTATAGTAAGGCATAAAAAGTCAATAAATCGTCATGGTATAGTAATGCTAAAAAAGTCATTAAAACGTCATACTATAGTAAGGCATGAAAAGTCATAGAATACAGAGGCATAAAAAGTCATAAAAACGTCATAGTATAGTAAGGCATAAAAAGTCAAAAAATTGTCATGGTATAGTAATGCAAAAAAAGTCATTAAAACGTCATAGTATAGTAAGGCATGAAAAGTCATAGAATACTGAGGCATACAAAGTCATGAAAAGATCATAGTATAGTAAGGCATAAAAAGTCATAAAAAAGTCATAGTATAGTAAGTCATAAAAAGTCAAAAAAGATCATAGTATAGTAAGGCATAAAAGCGTCATAGTATAGTAAGGTATAAAAAGTCATAGAATAATAAATCATAAAAAGTCATGAAAACGTCATAGTATAGTATGGCATAAAAATAGAAAAGTCATAGTGTAGTAAGGCATAAAAAGGCCTAAATGTTACATAGTATATAACATAACATATAACATAGTATAGTATTGCATGAAAATGTCATTTAATTCAATTCAAAGTTTTTATTGTCATTGCACAGTGTACAAAGAATTTGCATGTCTCCAGTGTTACATGCAGTAATACATATACAGCAAACATAACTACATACAGTGACAAAACAACAGTAGACACATTCCAATAGTATAAACATATAAAAACAAACAATAATCATAAAAAGTCAAAAAAAGTCATAAAAAGATCATAGTATAGTAAGGCATAAAAAGTCATAGTATATAAAGGCATAAAAAGTCATAAAAATGTTATTGTATATTAAGGCATGAAAAGTAATAAAAACGTCATAGTATAGTAAGGCATAAAAAGTCATAAAAACATCATGGTATAGTGAGGCATAAAAGCGTCATAGTACATTAAGGCATAAAAAGTCCTAAAAATGACATAGTAGAGTATAACATGAAAACGTCATAGTATAGTGAGGCATAAAAAGTCATAAAGACGACAGTATATAGTAAGACATAAAAAGTCCTTAAATGGACATAGTATAGTATGGCATGAAAACGTCATAGTATAGGAAGGCATAATAAATCATAGAAATGTCAGTAAGGCATAAAAAGGCATAAAAGCGATATAGCATATATAGGAAGGCATAAAAAGTCCCAAAAAGGACAGTATAGTATGGCATGAAAACGTCATTCAGTTCAATTCAAAATTTTTATTGTCATTGCACAGTGTACAAAGAAATTGCGTGTCTCCAGTGCTACATGCAGTAATATATATCCAGTACAGCAAACATAACTACATACAGTGACAAAACAATAGACACATTCGAATAGTATAAATATATAAAAACAAACAATAAGCATAAAAAGTCATGAAAATAATATATATTAAGGCATAAAAAATCCAAATGACATAGTATAGCAAGGCATAAAAGTATCATAGTATAGTAAGGCATAAAAGCGTAATAGTATAGCAAGACAAAAAAACGTCATAGTATAGTAAGGCATAAAAAGTCATAAAAACAACATAGTATAGTAAGGCAAAAAAAATGTAAAAAAGTCACAGGATAGTATGGCAAAAAAAGCAATAGTATATTAAATCATTATAAGTCATAAAAAAGTATAATAAAGCATTACAAGTCATTGTATATTAAGGCGTAAAAAGTCAAAAAAACGTCATACTATAGTAATGCAAAATAAGTCATAAAAACATCATAGTATAGTATGGCATAAAATGTCAAAAAATATAAAGGCATAAAAAGAGATAAAAACATCATAGTATAGTATGGCATAAAAAGTCAAAAAATATAAAGGCATAAAAAGAGATAAAAACATCATAGTATAGTAAGGCAATAAAAGTCATAAAAACGTCATAGTTTAGTAAGGCATAAAAAGTCATAGTACATTAAGGCATAAAAAGTCATAAAAACATCATGGTATAGTAAGGCATAAAAAGTTTTAAAAAAAACCATCATAGTATAGTAAGGCACAAAAGTGAATAAAAACATCGTAGTATAGTAAGGCATAAAACATCACAGAAACATCATAGTATAGTAAGGCCCAAGGCCATGAAAATGTCATCCAAATCAATTGAAAGTCTTTCTTTTGCATTGCACAGTGTACAAAGAAATTGCACATCTCTAGCGCTACATGCAGTAATACATATACAGCAAACATAACTACATACATTCACAAAACAACAGTAGACATATTCCAATCGTAAAATATTAAAAAAAATAAACATTCATAAAATGATTATGTATATTAAGGCATAAAAAAGCTAAACGACATAGTATAGCAAGGCATAAAAGTGTCATAGTATAGCAAGGCATAAAAGTGTCATAGTATAGCAAGGCATAAAAGCATCATAGTATAGCAAGGCATAAAAAGTCATAAAAACGACAATATAGTAAGGCATTAAATGTCATTAAAAATAGTCATAGTATATTAAGGCATATAAAGTCATAAAAAAGTCATAGTATAGTAAGGCACAAAAACGTCAAACTAAAGTAAGGCATAATAATGTCATAGTAGAGTATTGCATAAAACATCACAAAAACGTCATTAAAAAAATCATAGTATAGTAAGGCATAAAAAGTCGTATTATATTAAGGCATAAAAACGTCATAGCAAGGTATACAAATTCATAGTATATTAAGGTATAAAAAGTCACAAAAATGTCATAGTATAGTAAGGCATTAAAAGTAAAAAAAACAGTATAAAAAATGCAAAAAAAAAAAGTAAAAACGTCACAGTATAGTAAGGCAAAAAAGTGAATAAAAACATCATAGTATAGTATGGCACAAAAAGTCATAGTATATTAAGGCATAAAAAGTCATAAAAACGTATAATAAGGCATAACAAGTCATAGTTTATTAAGGCATAAATTGTCATAGTATAGTAAGGCAAAAAAAAGTCATAAAAACGTCATAGTAAGGTATACAAATTCATACTATATTAAGGCATAAAAAGTCATAAAAACATCATAGTATAGTAAGGCATAAAAAGTCATAGTATATAAAGGCATAAAAAGTCATAAAAATGTCATTGTATATTAAGGCATAAAAAGTCATAGTATAGTAAGGCATAAAAAGTCATAGTATAGTAAGGCATAAAAAGTCATAAAAATGTCATAGTATAGAAAGGCATTAAAAGTCAAAAAACATCAGGCGTAAAAGGCATATGCATAAGGCATAAAAAGTCAAAAAAACATCATAGTATAGTTAGGCAAAAAAGTCATAGTATATTATGGCAAAAAAAGTCATAAAAACATTAAAGCATAGTAAAGTAAGGCAATTAAATTAAAAAAAAAACGTTATAGTATAGTAAGGCAAAAAAAAGTAAAAAACAACATCATTGTATAGTAAGGCAAAAAAAAGTCATAGAATAGTAAGGCCTTAAAATTCATACTTTAGTAAGGCACAAAACATCAGAGTATAGTAAGGCATAAAAAATGGTTCTAACCACAATGCCCCCCCTCAAAAAGTAATTCACTTGTCTTGGGTACGTAATAGTCTCTTGGAGGGGACATTGGAATGATCTAATATGACTTCAAACATAACGTGAAAGAGTTCACTCAAATATTGGTAGGACTATTCTGTGTGATAATGTCACAATCAAACAGTTCATAAAGACATTACAGAAGCATCAACCTTGTAGAACATATGCAAAGATTTATGTCCTGAACCTGAAGCACTGGCAGTTTGTTTACACCAGAGAGCACTTACATGATAAAACAATGGAAATTGCAGGATGAATTCTATTAACAGTGCCATGTTTGCCATGCGTGATTCAGTGGTTGGATACAATTTGTGTGCTACAAAATATGATGAGAAGGTCTATCAGATAAATCATTATTTTATTAGATAAATTAAATAGCTGAATCAAAAGAATCACAGTTTTGACTCACTGACATTACTGCCTTAATTGCATTATGGCTGCATTTTCCAGCTGCATGTAAACAGATATTTAAGGAGTATGTTTCCTTTTTTGCCAGACGATGGAGGTAACCTATGACGTTACCTTTTATTAGGGTATAGAAAAACAGGACCAACTCTGCTCGTTCCCCCACGTTACTCCACTGTATGTTTGAATAGCCTTTATTTTAGGTAACACGGGCTGTTTCGTGCTATAGAGAGGGTTAAAGTATGACAAGAGTTACATAATGTGACACCAGAGACTCAGAAACCCTCCTGACAGGAACTACTTTACAGTGTAGCGTCTCCAATAAAGCGTGCGCACTGCTCATGGGTGGCGAGGCGAGGTCACAAGTTCCCGAGCACAGCCCCTGAGCAGATCTCTCACACAAACACACACACATACACACACACACACACACACACACACACACACACACACTGGGAGGGCGGCTCCGAAATCCGTGCGGAGACAGAGGGAGACACTCTGGGGTCGAAGCCTCAGTCCGCACTCATTCTCACCGAGGCGAAGTTAGTGACAGTTAGGGTGTCTGAGATCCCGACAGGTGAAATGACCAATCACCCATCACAGTCCAACGGCATGCAGAGCCTCCGGAAGGAGCACCTGTACAAAGTGCTGGTTATCGGCGACCTGGGGGTCGGGAAGACCTCCATCATCAGGCGCTACGTCCACCAGACTTACTCCAACAACTACCGGGCAACCATCGGAGTCGACTTCGCCCTGAAGGTGTTGAACTGGGACTCTGAGACTGTCCGGCTTCAGCTGTGGGACATTGCAGGTGGGACAGAGAGGAATGTGTTTAATGTCAGTTTTTTGCCGGGTGCATAGGGTGTCATCTCCTGCTGTCTTACTGATTGGTAATGCATCTGTACTTCACAACATTCATAGCTTAAATTTTAGTTTCATGTTTTAAATGTGTAAGAACTAAGGAACATTTTCAAAGCATAGCTGAAAAAAGTGTTGTTTAGCAAGACTGTGTTAGTTCCTGAAAAGTTGATAATTTGGGGAGATAGTGCTTATCTTCAAACTGACATTGAGGCATGACTGTTGTAAAGTTATGAAACATTCACAACTTAAAGATGCACTGTCACTGTGGAGAGCTCTCACTCTCTCTCTTTCTCTCTCTCTCTCGCACTCAAACACACACACACACACACACACACACACACTAATTGTTGCTGAGGGAAGATGAGCACACTGTCATTCAGTCATTCATTCAAGGTATGGTGCTGCATCATGTGATGAGGCCCATGTGAGGCAGATTTTAAGGCCAGTCACAGGAGTGTCATTTAGATTAAATGAAAAAATAAAACATCATTACTCGCTCATACACACAAACACGCGCACACACACACACACACACACACACACACACACACACACACACACACACACATGTTTACTTTTGTCACTTTTGGAAATTGCATAGACTTACGTTAATTTCCGAGAGACTTACCCTAACCCTACGCACTACTTTCCATACACTAACAATAACCCTTCCCCTAACCTTGACAACTGACCCAAATCAAGGCTTTTGTCCCCAATTGGACAAGCCGTCCCGTATTAACTGGTCTTTAGTCTGAAATTTAGCCCCAAAATTGACTTAAGTGAGACATACACACACACAACCACACACACACATGCAGGCACATGCTTTAAGTGGTTAATTTGGATCCAGCAAATTAAATTACAAGTTACATCTGATTTAGTCAAATCTACCTGCTTGAAATTGATCATAGGGAGGAGTGGGGATAAACTAAGCAGGGACTGTGCATTTGTTATAATTTATGGAGTGGTAAATGTTGTACTTTAAAGTCGTGTAAATTGCACAATCCGATTATTGAATGACAGTGGGTCAGGTGACGTGTGACGTCTGTGTCTGTCTCAGACTGCTGTCACACCACTGCAGATGAGGATTTGTTGTGATTAATGAAAATTGTTCATACCCTCTCCGGCATGAAAAGGAGAAGTTCTTCTGAATCCATGCAGTGTCAGACTTTCCATTTCCTCTTAACTCATGGGGCAAGTCGCAGCCTTCTGTTCTCTCCAAAGTTCTTTACATCCAGTGAAGCCAAAAGTGGACTCTCATAAATTAATGTTTATCAGCCACGTGAACTTTTCTCCTGAGAGGGCATGGTATGTAAAACAAGCAAGATGCACACACCCACATGCTCGGTCTTGGACTAACAAGTCTTCACATTAGACAACAGAGCACACAACCCCGGGGGACTCTCATGTTGACAACCTGCTCCTCAAGCACCTAATTTCCATTCCCTGCACAATGCACAAGCGTGGATAGACACACACACACACACGCATACCTGCACACAGACATTTCACGTGCTTATATCCTCTGAGATATTTTGTATAGACAGTATTGTATGTACTTTAGTTCATTTTCATTGCAGTTTTGGCACAATGCAGATTTAATTCAAGTAGGCCTGTTATAAGCAGGAACAAGCACTTGCATTGACCGTCTGGTGAGGTGCAACGTGACAGTAAGACCGCAGGAATGTGCTGTTTCATGGGAATGTAGGCCCTGATAACTGCTGTCTCAATGCCAGCTGCATTAGCTGTTTTGCTGCAAAAATGTGGGAAAAACAATGAGAATCTCTCATCAAACTGAAGAATGGGAACAACAGAGCTGCCACGCTGATGAATAAAAGCTCCCCCTGTGTGTGTGTGTGTGTGTGTGTGTGTGTGTGTGTGTGTGTGTGTGTGTGTGTGTGTGTGTGTGTGTGTGTGTGTGTGTGTTCAATCACAGGTCAGGAACGTTTTGGAAACATGACACGAGTGTATTACCGTGAAGCCATGGGAGCCGTCATAGTGTTCGACGTGACCCGGCCCACGACCTTCGAGGCCGTCGTCAAGTGGAAAGAGGACCTGGACTCCAAACTGATGCTGGCTAATGGACAGAGCATTGCCACTGTGCTGCTGGCGAACAAGTGTGACCAAGGCAGGGAGCTGACCAACAATGGCATCAAAATGGACCAGTTCTGCAAGGACCACGGCTTCGTCGGGTGGTTCGAGACCTCAGCTAAGGTGAGACAACAGTATTTTGGTGTACCAGTCATTTGCAGGGTGTAAATGTAAATGTATTCCTGCCTGTCCTGGCAATGAGTTGTCACTGAGAATTAGATAACAGGATCGATCAATGTAAAGCTGGAGCCAAGAAATGCTTAGTGTGAAGACTGGAAACAGAGGGAAACAGCTAGCTTGGCTCTGTCTGAAGGTAACATACCAGCATCTCTAAATGTTACTAATTAACAAATCATATTTTAATTATCAAATCAGTACAAAAAAACAAAGTGTAAAAATGAAAACTCGTGGCTTCACAGGCGGTTATGTGTGGGACTATTTCTTGGCGTAGCCTATTCTCCCTGTCTCCAGTTGTCAAGCTAAGCTAAGCCAACCAGCTGCCGGCTGTAGCTTCATATTTAACACGCAGACATGAGGATGGTATTTCAATCCTCACATACTGTATAACTCTCAGCAAGAATGCGGATGAGCGCATTTCCCAAAACGTTGAGGTATTAACTTTAATCAGCACATGATGACAGTGAAAGGTCCAGATTGCAGGGCCTTAGCTGCGAGCGGCTGACACGCTGAGTGGAGGTCCTCTCCCACTCAGGTCACTTCAGTCAGTGAAAAACATCCCCACAGAGAGAACTGGAATTTCATATCCTCGTGGAAAGTGGCTCAGCGAGATCAATTTACAAAGCAGGGTCAGAACAAAGGTGGTGGAGTGAAAAGTTAAAAGTATTAGAGGATTGTTAACAGTTTGACCACGTCACATATATATTTTGTATCTGTTTACATTCTTTGTCACAGTTTCACTAATTGAAGTAATAAAATCCAAGATGTCGTGTTTTCTTATAATAGTAGTACATGAAATGGAAATTCCTAGGTGTTTAGTGCATCACATATTTCCCCATAGTTATGATATACACTACATGGTATACTCACATACATGCTGGGATCTTGACTGTGTGTATCTGTTAGGATGGACTTCCCAAAGAATCAATGTAAAACAACATGTAGTTTCATTTTTGTGATGCCCAATCAATTTGAATTGCCCTCCTTATGTAAACTATTCCACACCTGTATTTACACATAGCTATAAATTCTACAAATGTCTCCATTTACACGTCCTCTGTTGACACTAATGTGTTGGCACAGTGTGCCATCGAGGCTCGGCATTCTGAGAGGATCAAAGGTCACAATGTGCAGGTTTGAGGCAGAAGTGTCAGGAGTAGGATATGCAAACAGAGATACAGACGCCTCTTTGGTAGCAGTTAGAGCAAGATGTTTTAAACACATTAAGTACTTTTGGTCAACTACTGATGAACAGGAAGTGTGCTTTATACTCTTAGCTGAGATAATTGTTTTATCAGCTCATTTTTACCTCCAAACAAAATTCAAGTCACTGATGCTTGCCTGCAAGGTGACTTCTGGGTCTGCACCCATTTCCTTGAACTCAGTCACACAGGCTTATGCTCCTCCTCAGCCACTGTGTTCCTCCAAGGAATGTCGTCTGACATTGCTGTCCCTGCACACGAGGCAATCGTAGTCCAGACTGTTCTCGTCTGTGGTTCCCCGGTGGTGGAACAAGACTCATCTCTTCCGAGAGCATCTCCTCTCCTTACACCTCTAACACCCTAACATGCATAACTAGCACTTACAATGCACTCCTTTACCTGATCTCCTTACACTTATTGAATAGATGTAGTATTTAATAAACTCTCAGATGGGAATTAGGGTAAATTTATAGTGATTTGGTTAATGTATTTTTCTTTTTTTTGTGTGTCTGGTTGATAGATTCATTTAAATATTTGTATCGCTTCAACTGTATTTATTAAATATAATGTATATATAGTGTTTATGCTGTTCTTTTTTTCTTTCTTTCTCTCTTTGTACGATGTAATTTTTATTTATACGTGAGGTGAGGTTTAACTCAAGACCTCGATGGGTTTCTGACCTCACCGGCACGTTCTCTCCTTTAAAAAAAACTATATTCAATATATTTGTAATATTTTTTGTGTGCAAATAAATAAAATTGAAAATTGAAAATTAAAAATGTTTTACAACCGTTGCCCTAATGCGATAATATAAACAATCCAAAAGTCAAATGTCAAATTATACAGCCATGCCTAACTGCTGTTCATCTCTTTCCTTTAGGACAATCTCAACATCAGTGAAGCTGCGAACTTCCTGGTCAAGCACATCATGGCCACAGAGAATGACATCCTGAAAACCGTGGTACCGGACACCATCTCACCGCAGCTCGACTCCAACAGGCAGATGAGCTGCTCTGGCTGTTTCAAATGATGGAAGGAGGGACAGAGCAGGATGGAGAGGCAGTAGGACAAAGAGGGACAGGCGCACCACACGGCCTTCCGCGGAAATATAAATACCCAAGGTACAGTTTGGCTTCTTCGGTCCAAACCCAAGTTGAACAATTTACAAACTGAAGTTACATGGACTCAGAAGCTGCTCATTTATTTAAGAAAGAGTTTTGGTAACTCGTCATACTGTGAGTTTAAAGTCTTTGGCAGAGAAACAAGTATAACTTCGGTTTGGCATAACACTCATGTCGATGCTCTTTGGCACAATGTAGTAGATTATTTGAAGTATCGTACTTTTGAAGCTGCTCCTTGTTAGCTGTCTGGTTCACTCCCTGACAAAACTGAACAAAAGGAGAAAATACTCCCAGCGTGGTTGATGCAACACATCTAAAGCAGGGGTCTTGCTCAACTCATATATGTTCATCACTGTTTCAAGAAAGTGTGACTGTGTTGTTGTCCTCCCTCCATTAACCTTCACATAAACCTGTTTAAAAAGGAACAGTGTGGGAGACATGCAGGCTTCCTGTAATGTTACTCCGTGAGAGCCAAAGAAGGTAGTATTGATCCTACAGTACATTGTGTAATTATGTGAATTTTGCACATACGTTGTTTTTAATGATCTTAAGTTATTTCCCATATGCTTATATGTGTGAAATGCTGCTTATTGTATTATGTTGTGTTGCTTAAAAAAAAAAATCCTTCCTCCAACTGACTATTGTGTAAGCCTTGTTTAATCAGGCAGTTTAAGTAACAACACTTTTGTATCTATAGCAACAACTTGGTCGGGGAAGTCAGCTGCAAAGAAAGGAAGAGTTTAACACACAACCATCCTGGAGCTTGTGTAGTGTAACGGGTCAGTTCAGTATATCATGGAGGGGAGCGGGTGTTCTTTGGCTGTAACATCTGACCACAGTGATTTCAGAACGAATTAATTGTGTGTGCGTGTGTGTGTGTGTGTGTGTGCGTGTGCGTGTGCGTGTTATTTTTCTTCACTAGAGGAAAAATTGTTTTGATTGTCTGGTTCTAAACTGGACACGCTCATGAGTTCAGTTGCCAAAGTCTAACCCTCAGTATCCATGGTAACTACATCAAGTCTTCTTCTTTTTTTTTTTTTCTTTTTTTCTTTTTTCATGGGCATCCTCTAACATCTGTGTGGAGCTATTTCTCGCTGTATTCGCAACCACACACACACACACACACACACACACACACACACACACACACACACACACACACACACACACACACACACACACACATACACACACATACACACACATACACACACACGCTCATGCGTCCACATATATGCACACACACAGATCTTTCCACACTCCGTGTCCTTATTCCTTTCTTTTTTACATCTTCCTTTCTCCTCAACTCACCCACTCGATCTGCCGCTATTGTTTCTTCTCCTGAAAAAAACTCGCTGTCCTCTCGCCGTACAGTGTCTTTCTTTTAAACGTCCTCTGCCTCTCTGTTCACATTAAACCTGCACAGACTCTAGTAAACACAGACAGAGATGCAGAGATGATTCATGGCCTTGAAAAATCCCTAGATCGGGGGGGGGGGGTAAATGTGCATGTGCGTTATGCTGTGTGCTGCCATTTAGACAAATAATCATATCATGACATATGTTACCGTGTTTCCCCCGGTCGTTGTTCGTCAGCAGTGTTTGCACAGTGTTCATAAGACTGATCACAACAGTGTCATGTGCTATTGTGTTGAGTCCTTGTTGGTGATTTACATGCTCCACATTAGAGCGGAATAGATTGAAACAATGGCGTCTCCACAGGATTAAAAACTTCACAGTGTTAGTTTGGCTCATCCCGCGTCATGTGACATCAGCATGGTGTCGATTTTTGAGCTGATTTGGACTGAAAAAGAGCTGCACGCTCACACACACACACACACACACACACACACACACACACACACACACACACACACACACACTCACATACACAGACATACACTCACACACATTTATCTGTCTTGTAGAGGACAAAAGATGCCAATTAATTTAATGTTTTATCCCACAAGTGAACAGCACTTCACCTGATGATATAACTCGTGGATTATTCTTGTTTATTATTTATTGTAAAGTAGTAAAAATGAACTAATTTCACACGCATCCATCCCTGCTGCTTTTTACCACATTAAAATAGTGTGACACCAAAGTACACTCACACCATTTAACCTTTAACCATTTTACAGCCTCATGATCACTGTTGTACTTCAGCTTCATAAATCACTGAAAGAGACAGTGAATCAACTTCCAAGTTCTATTAGTTTAGAAGGAGAAATGTGTGTGCGTGTGTGTGCGTGTGTGTGCGTGTGTGTGTGTGTGTGTCTTCGGGCTGATCCAGGACTCTCAGGTTCTCATTAGGAAGCCACATGACTGAGTGGATTATTCTCTGCCTGAGGGATTGGATTTGGTCGTCTGCTCTTGGCTCTCGTTAAGACATCCACCACCAACAACTCATTAAATGATCCAACAACGCCGTATAACCCCTTTGGAAGAATCTTGTCATCTGAAATTCATCAAGCAATAACTTGATTAAAACATAAATGACTTTGTTTTCAAAAGAAATCTTTGAGAGAGGGTTATTATATTATCATTATTTCAGAATTTTAATTACATTTCAAAACGTGTAATTAAAAGTAAAACAATGACATAAACCTCTCCTTTTGTGGAACAAGATTCTCCAAGTTCTGGTGTGTGTTAACTCTTCTTGTGACAACTCCTGGCACAGATCTATCTATTCATTAGTGGGATTATGAGCCCAGCATATTGTGTAGTTCTCAGGCTCTGCCAGAGAACCACCTACAGAAAACACCCACATATTCTCTAAGAGAGAAAGAGAAAGAGAGAGGGAGGGAGGGAGAGGGAGAGGGAGAGGGGGGAGACGAGGAGAAGCAGGTAGAAGAAAATGAGCTGGGAGCGAAGCGATGTTAAAAATCTCACAGCAACAAAAGGTTACAGACAGCTCGTCAGGAGTGCCTGCAGGTAAACACAAGCAGAGGGGTCGTCGTGCTGAACTGCCTTGGAAATGTTTTCCAGACGGATTAAAGCCGATAACTCTCTTATTAGATCAGAGCACATCCAGCCGGCTTAATCACATGGGGACCAACAGGCGACTTACATAATTCTGCAACAAGAACTTAGATGACAGACGAGACTTGATCTGATTTGATCGAGTGTCTTTCTCCCTGTTCTCACCAGCAGTAAATCGCTCGTGTGGTGCCATCTGTTGTCAAATTAGTCACACTGCAGGCGTTTGACCCACTTCAAAATTCACAGATATAAGTTATGACCACTGATTTATTAGAAACAATTCTATTCATTTGCTAACTTTTGAATTATACTGACTGAACTTTTATGGCCTAAAATGGTGACATATTACTAGAACTTGTTCATACTTTCCCACAATACCTCAGAGATAAACACTGCTGGGTGTACATGCAGGAACACGAACACACGCTAAAGTGAAAGCATTTGAGAATGACTGGACCTGAAACGTAACCGCAGCGTGTGAACACCGAGACATGTTTTCCCAAGAAAATTACCTCATCCATCAGGGCGACTTTCTCATCTCTTAGTCCTTGCTCCTCAGTGGCTCTTGGTTCCCACTCATTAGTGCCAAAATCTATTAGATCATGTTAACCTGCTTGACCTTTGCCACCCTCTCCCACCCTCTCCCACCCCCTCCCACCACAACCAGATCCTCCTTTAATTCTCTCTTTATGATAAGGCCTTGAATAGCCAGCGAGAATGATCAACATTATTGTGATTTACAGATCTTTGTACTGCTATGTAATCATCCGAGGAGTATTACACTATGTTTGCTCACATAAAAGAAAATTGAGAGATGAAATAACAGTCTCTGCTAATTAAAATAGCCCCCAGAGAGAGAGGGGGAGAGAGAGAGAGAGAGAGAGAGGGAGGAGGAGTGAAGTGGAGAGAGAGTGAAAAGAAAGAAAACCCTGAAAGTAAATTAAAAGTAACAGAGGCGAGAGGAGGTGGGAGAGAGAGAGTGACTGAGATTCAGGAGGGAGAAACATGAAAGACTAAAAGTGGGGTATTAAATCATTAATATATCTGTCCAGGTCCTCTGAAGACCTTTGTGAGCTCAGCTATTCATCACTCACTCTGAACACTGACAGATTTTACATCTCATTAACCGTACCGATGCTGTTTCAATAATACTGCACTGCACTGACAGTCATCTTCATAAGTGGAGGAGGATGAAAACAAACATCTTTTACTGTTTGGAGCAGTTTTTGTTCTGTTTTAATGTCTCGCTTTTTCTTTAAAAAAAAAAAAAAAGATACAGTCATTTTTTGTGCACTAAAAACAAAGGAATTTGTGTAGCATATACTGTAGTATACATCTATACAGATCTCAGTCTATTAACTGTTAATGCACTGCCACTAGAGGGCAATAAGCACCAGCGTTAACGTGCATGTTTGCAGTCAGTCTGGTGTGTCAACCATCATTAAAACCTACTATCCTGAAATAGTACTCAACATTTTCTCATAGAATCAATGTATATCTGATTTCTGTATTATTCATTTTTATATTCAATCAAATCATTTTGAAGACCAGCTGCACTGTGACGATTATTATGCAGAGAATAAGTCTATAAATATATACACATAAAATACAGTGGAAGTTGATCTTAAGGAAGTCTCGAAGAAAGTATCAAAGATCTACTATCAGCAGGGGGCAAGCTACAGAAAATGGAGTAATGAATGGGATGCACAAAAAAAAAATAGAATATATACTTTATAATTGGGCTGTTGATAGGAGACACAAAATATAAACATAAATCTGCTGCATTCACCAATGGTTTGCTGCTACATTGTCAACTTGATCCTTGCCAGTCATTTAGATAATGATTAGACAGTGTGAGGCTGCCTTCCGCCTAAAAGTAATAAAAAAAACTGATGAGAAGCAGTTTCTTTAGAAACTAATGAAATTTGTGAGGTCTGTTTTTGTCAAAAGTCAAAGCGAAGCGTGAGAGTTGTTGTGCAGCCCAGAAGAAGCTGTGTCACTGTGGTCAGCTGAGGAGAAGCGACCACAATGACTGGGCCTGAAATATGAGCGCCAGACATGTGACCAGAAGGTAAACATTGCACACATTGCGTCAAGTCTCTTTGCCGAGTTGCCTGGTTTTGGTGCAAAATGCTGTGGTGTGTTGCACTCTGCATAGCAAGGGCAGAACCAACACTGCGTGCAATGTGTGCTGAATTTTCCTCTTAACACCTGAGATATTGTATCAAACTGTATCAAAATTTGTTTCAAAACAATGAAAGTACATATATATACAATATATATGTATTTAAGGATGAATTCATAGTCATCCTGAGGTAATCAAGCATTGAAGCATATTTGAAATACACAGACTATTGTTCCTACTGATTTATGCTTAAAGCTGTGATTGTTTCAGTGCTAAAATCTTCACATTCTCAATGTGCGCCTTGGTTGTGTTGATTTGTAAGCAGGTACCTTTAACCAGAAAACACACTGTAATAAGCAATTTGCAATGCTGGAAACATTCGCTTACAGAAGGTCATCAAAGACTTGTGATTGGTTGATTGGTTTTAGACACCTGGAATGCATTTCTGACCTCTCAGTATAAGTCTAAGAGTTTAAATCAATAAGGTAGTAGCCTATGAGTTTATTAAAACTTGTGTGGCCTTGTCATTATAAAGGAACTGTCATATTATGATAAGCTTACAAAGATGTGATTGCTTTCTTTACTCCACAGTCCATGTATGGACATGCACGGTGGGAACCCTGGACGACCTCAGGCTCCACCATCCTATGAGTCAAAAACTTTGAGTGTGTGAGCTGGATGTGTATCTAAAGCGAAGGCTGACCATCTCCTGTGACTGTGTTCCTGCTGGAGCTGGATGACACCTCCTGTGACGTCGTGTACTTATCAGAACAGGCTGAGAGTGAGGTCGGGGGCCGGACTGGCAACCCTCGCTCTGAGAGGACAGCGTCTATGTGGGGAAAGAATGAGGCCAGGGGGCAGTCAGGGGAGGTGTACTTGGCTAACACCTGGAGCTGCTCTGGCTGCAGGTTGGCTTCGTTGCAGACCCTTTGGCATAAGGCAGTGACACTGTGACACGTTTTCAGCTTCAGCTGGCTCAGCTGGCTCTTCTCCACGATTAGTTTCTCCCTCTCTGTCTTCTGTGACATACACAATGCAGTGCACACAATTTTATGAGCATGTCTGTAAACAAGAAGTGGCTTAATAAGAATTTACTGATTGAAAATAAAAGCATGGTTTTTACCAGTTTATTGATTTCACACTGCAGGTTGTATATGCAGTCTAGCTTCCTCTTGCGGCAGCGCTGCGCGGCGAGGCGGTTTTTGCTGCGCCGCCTCATGTCGTGAACAAACTCCAGCTGTTCACGTGTGAACTCCTGTTGCTTCAGCAGCTGCTGGAAGTCGTTCCTGCTCAGATCCACAATCCAGTCTACAGAGAAAGGCAACTGCACCTGAGGGAAGGAGAGTTGCACAAAGAGGGGAAATGGTTAAAAAGTACACAAACAGATTCTGTGACAGTGAGAGCATCTACATCAGTGAGGGAGACAGAGCCAAAATCAGTGCTAGTCATTTCATGCCATGGATGCTAGTGTGACTGCATATGTTACAAACTGGTCTAGACAAATGAAAGTGCATGTTTTGTTGAATCACATCACATCAGATGACCTGAAAGTACAGGGGCCTGCACATACACCTGCTATAGAGCTGCAGACGTATGGAGAAAGGGTTGATTTGTCATAACAACATAAGAAACACTCATAGCATCAAATCATCATTGTCAGCCATGTGGGCCACATGTACTTAGAAATTATAATTAACATTAAAATTCAAATAAGTTATTATATATTTATATATAATATTTAATGATGAAACGTGTGTGTCGAGCTTTGCTGCCTATGGACAAAATGGATATGGAGCGCAGATAGTTATATATTTATCAAACTGTTAATAATTAACTGTAAATATGAGTTAACTTTTAAAAAGCAGAGGCCCGGTGCTGGGTTATTGCTGCTGCTAATGTGTTACAGGAAATGTACACTCAGCCGTTTATTGGAACTGTATAAATCATACAGTGTCTTTATCTAGTGTAAATAAAAGCTTTTTTTTTTTTGTGTGTGTTTGTCTGAAATGACCTTAACTTTTTCTGCACTGTGTCAGGAACATCCACACAGTCAGTAACACGGACAGTGACGTGAGAGATTCCTCAAACCTGTTGTTTGTGTGGTCGCTGCTAACTCACCGGGCTGAGGTGTCGAATTCAGCTGAGTTGGACTCTGGACCAATTAGCAAGACACACGCTCGTGATCATGGCACCCACGCATGCACATGCACACGCACACACACACACACACACACACACACACACACACACACACACACACACACACACCGGCTATACTTGGTGAATAATTAACCGGCACTGTAGCGATTCTACTTTTTGTTAGATGAATGCAAACACTCATTTGCATCTGATATAATGTACCGAAAACTCTTATCTAAAGCAAACATAGCGAAGTAACCTACAAGTGAGGTGAGTTTGCTGATGCTTGTTGACACAGTAAGGCGGCAGGAAGACACATATAAAGAAGAACAGAGGAGGCTTCATTCACGGTTTGACTGCTCACCTGTCTGGCCCTCTCTCTTGTGGAGGACTCGCTGTCTCCTTCTGTTTCTGTCTCTGAGTCTCCATCCTCCCCCGAGTTTAGGGATGACACGCCTGAGTGAGACGCCCCCTCGCACTCAGACAGCCCCGCTCCCTTCCATAAACATTTGCTTTGGTCCAAATCCTGGAAAAAAGGGCAGCCGGCAGCGCTGCTGGAGCTGAGGTTGACTTGAAGCTTCAGCCACTCTAAAGACGCGGTCTGCATCAGTCCACTCCCTGTATCGGAGGAACTTCCTGCATCAGGGTCCTGGAAGTTCAGCTGAGACGAAGCCATGTCAGACCCCAGCGGTTTGGCCATGTATTCAGCCACCTCCCTTTCCATGGTGCCCCCCTCTCTAGCATTATTCACCGGCAGTTTCGCTCTTTCCATGCTGCCTCCTCTTTCTTCCCAGGCATTATCTGCCCTTCTCCCCTCAGCTTCTACCTGTTCGTCTGCCTTGTGATGAACAGACACTGGCTCTATTACACAAGAGTCCCGTGGTTTCTTGTCCTCTTTAATGTCCATGACAAACCTCTCCTGCCCCAGTGACCTAGTGATTGCAGGGCCCTCAGCTAGGGCCCTCAGAGGGCAATGGTGCAATATTAACCTTGGTGACCTCTCACCCAGCACTGCGCTTTGCCCTATGGAGATTGCTTTGACACAGGAAGAGCTGACTCCATCGGTGTGCTCCATCTCCTCCTCCATCTTCATAACATCACTCTTTCTTTCCTTCTCATCCCATTTTCCCTCTCTTTCATTTGTGTCTTTCTTAATCATATGATCCTCCCCCCTGCTTACGCCATCTTCTGTCTTCTTGTCCTGTATATCAGTTTTCCACAGCTCATCAGCTCCGCCTCTGCTCTGTCTGGTGGGATGTGTTTGTCCAGTTTCATTCTTACTGTTCGCACTGCTGGAGCAGGGTGAGCTGGGTAGGTGGCAGTCATCCCTGATAACTGTTACTACATTGTTCTGACTTTTCTCTGTGGCACAAGTCTCCTTCCCACAAGCCAGCTGAAACTTGCGGTACTTTGGACACTGCATAAAATTATCATTTGCCCCTTCAGCTGCAGGTGTTAACGTGCCTGTACTATTCTGACTTCCCATTTTGCTGTTCACTGATTTCTTGCAGAGTGAAGCCACTTCCTGCCGAGATGGTGAGTCAGCAACTGGTTTTACTTCTTTTTCATCCAACGGCATATCGTCAGAGTCTATGCCACAGTCCTCCTTCGATAACTGCCTCTTGCATTTCTTCTTACAACAGGTGTTTCTAGGAAAAGGGACAGCGCCCTTGCTGCTGGAGAAGAACTTAGGGAGGAGAAAATCAAAGCATGCCTCGTCTAGGTCTCTGAAACCAAGAAAGGAAGCTGAGTTACGTATTTCTAAGACATCGTCTTTCCCAAAGAGGAGTTTGGATGTGTAGGCAAACTTTAGCAAGGGTTCAAAGCCAGCAACAGTCACCTGTGAGAGAGGACAAATTACAGAAATTAGCACTTTTTATATTCAATTGACTTGATTCACTCTTAAGGATCACAGCAGGTGTTTTTATAAGATTTTAAGGTCATATAATCCAGCATACAACACTGTAGGCCCAGTTGAGAAACTAGAACTACTCTGATTACAAATGTTTAAGGAAATAAAACCCATGGTTGTTGCTCAGCAACAATACATGTGACGGAAATATCTAGTTCCTGTGGCTTTTCTCACATTTAAAAATCTTATGAATGCATTCTCGGGATAATCTTCTTCTATGAGTTGTGCTAACTAACCACAGTACTTCTTGAATATCAGGGGAAAAATAATTAAAACAGTCTCATTAGTATGGTTAACCAACAGGAACATTCAAAATGCTGATATGGTTTCTCTTGAAGCCCAAACTGGTGGTTTATGGACTATTACTGAGTCCCCTTTTGGCATTACATATATTATATACCTTATATAATCTACTGGGAGCAGAATTGAAACCAGAAAGATTTTAATGTTGATAAACCTTAAGTAAGTGGTACATTACAATCTGGGTTATCCACTATCCTTCAAAGGGAAACTTCAGGCACTAATCATGTGTTTTCTAGGTTACAATTAAATGAAATGAATCTAATACAGTCACCTCGTGTACCCTTGATTATAGACCTCATAGCGACTTCACTTTGACACAGATTTGTTGTTGACAGGTGGCACTGCTTGTGTTGTATCTACTGTGGCATCATGAGGTGACATCTCACCTCTTGTGGCAGAGTGATGACCGCTCCGTGCTGCGTGAGGGGGGAGATCCTGTGCGTGAAGTACTCACTACAGGAAGCGAGTACGGAGCGGTGGGCTCTGAAACTCTGCCCCTCCACCACCACTGTAACATCACACAACATGTCCCGGCGACGCTGGTCGTCCAGGCAGCACAGCACATGGGAGGAATGCACTGACGACTCAAATGTAAACACAGACGACCGGGGAGCAGACATGGCCATCAGGGACATCTATATGTACACACAAACACACACACACACACACCCACACACACATACACACACAAAATCGTATAGTTAACCACTTCCCCTGTATCAGGATACATACTTAAAAAGTTATACATAAAAATGACAACAAAAACATGCCTACCTTACACAGCTGACTTTATATATCCAAGTGTCTTAGAGTGGTACAGAAAGTCCCAGCTGTTGAGCACACATGGTTATTTCTAAATGGAATGCCGTCCAACCAGGCTGCGCTTCCCAGAAAGCCTTATCTCAACTCGGTTACAAACTAAAAACTGAGCTTGACTCAGTCATATGGCCTGTGTGTGAGTATGTGAGAGGGAGGGAGACATTGAGGGAGAGTGTGTGTATGTGTATGTGTGTGTGTGTGTGTCTATGTGTATTGCAACAGTGCTGGGTGTAACAGAGCAAGCGCTGACTCATGCACTCCTGCTGATAAAGGATGAGCAAGCAGTTTTCCCGACCATACCAATCCCACCCTTGGATCCGTCTGGTAAACTAACAAGCTCTTCCCAGAAAAATCCCTTTATAGATTTACCCCCAGACACAATTCAGAGATTATGGTGAAGGTTGGGAATATTAAGTCAGTGTTTAAACAGGTTCTTGTCTATTGTCAGTGTCTTTAGATTTTAGATTAGCGTGGAATTACTCAACTGACTGCAGAAACAGGGCGTTTTGAGAACAAGTGGCGTAAATACAAGAGTGTTAAAAACAAATGAAACTGACCTGTTGCGAAGAGAGGGAGGCTATTGTGTAAATCTAAAGCCAATGTTTCTCAGTAGGATCCCTGTCGTTTCATATCTTGTTGTATTTCCAGGTAGCAGCAAATCTTTCTTTGAGCTCAGGTCAAGTTCCTTGTTGTGTGTGTGTGTGTGTGTGTGTGTGTGTGAGAGTGAGAGAGAGAGAGAGAGAGAGAGAGAGAGAGAGAGAGAGCATGCCCTGCCAGCAGAGGTACAATAGGTTAACAGCTGTAAACCCAACAGCAACTAATCTAACTGAATATTTGTGCCCTATAGGTTTGAGTTTTTTCTTGTTTTTAAGGTGTCAGGTCACAAATATCTGACTACAGAGGCACATTAATACTGACAGAAAGTAAGTTTTTGTATAAAGAATAAAGAAAAGCTACCGGGCAACAGTAAAATACAACAGAGTGGAATAATCATCCTTACAAAGCCCTGTTGCCTGTGTCACATGTTTTCAAGGAGGAAGAGGGAAGCCAGACTCAAGCTGGCCAATCAGGTGACTGTTTCATAATTCCAGAATGAGCTAATCTCCTCATGAAAAAAAAAGAAAAAAAAAAAACAAACAAAAAAAAAACAAAACAATCTAGTTCCTTTTTCCATGTAAGCGACTCAATATGGTCAAAAAGCACACGACACACACGACACAGCACCGGCCTGGAGAAATGAAACTACAGTAAGGAACTGATGCTGGTGTTAAAATAAAATGCATTTTATTATTAGACGAAGACGATAAGTGACAAGTTTATCCTGTTGTATGCTTCCCCTTCTACAGTTGAGTGAGACACTCTACATCAAAAAAAAAAAAATGTACAACTCTTACTACAGTGTTGTGCTGCAGCAGACACTTATTGAGAAATGGGTGATCACCCTTGTTCATTTGCTGTTCCGCACAAATGGCTATGATTCCCCATTCCCTAACACTGCGCCCAACACTCATCTCATTTCTGTTTTACCATAAGAGGAACATGACAGTTATTGGGGAGGGGGGAGGAGAGAGAGAGAGAGAGAGAGAGAGAGAGAGAGAGAGAGAGAGAGAGAGAGAGAGAGGGGAAACACTCTTCAAAATACGAGATTTGGACCACATCATACCACCTTTGGCTCCCTCCACAGACCTCAGAGTCTCCACAGGACCTGAGATGGATATCAGAATATCTGGTCACATTCACAGCAGCTGACACTGTATGAACATTTACTGTGAGGTTATTGCTATAGTGACCAGCAAAGGTTCTGCAACATCACATCATCACAAAATGGGACTCAGAAAAATGCCCTTGTGTCATAGCCTGGTAGGATCACTATCACAACTTCACACTGATGATGACAGTATATCTGTGGTTCAAACAAAATGACTCAGACGTGAACAAACACGGCTTCTTTTCTGTGTAATTAGCTGATTCACAGGATGTAGCTGTGCAGACTGAGCGCTAAAGCTGAGCCTTCATTCCTGCTTGGTGTTTTCTTTTCCTGGCCTGGTGTCAGCTGGATGTCTGGAGGTCTCAGGTTCTGCGGAGGTCAGAGGTCACGAGGAGTCCTGCCTCGTTCGATTGGTCAGGCAGAGCCTCTCGAGCTGCTGAGCGCGCTCATTGTGGACAGTCACCAAGTTGCGGTTCTCCTCTGTCAGACGCCGAAACTCCTCCTCCAGGCGGGCAATCTCCATGGCAACCTTCTCATCCTCTACCAGCTCTGCCAGCAACTTACGCCTACATGGACAAGTGAGATTTTTGAAATCTTAGGAGCAGGCGCAGAAGAAAAGAAAACTCAACAAAATAGCATTTCTCAAGAATCTACAATTACTTGACTGTCGAGATATTTGTTCATTTTCTGTCTCTTCCCACTTTCTCTTTCTCAGTTGCTGTGAAAAGCTGGAGACTGTCCCAGAATGCACTTGGCTGGAGGCAGGGGAACTCCCAAAATGCAGACCATCACATACATTCATACATATGAGGAAATTAGGAGTCTGCAGCTGTCTTGTTTCTAGACTGTGGGAGGAAACCAAGGGGACCTAAATTACCATGGAAACAATACGAACTTACAGGAAGGGCCTAAGCTGAGAAGAAACACTAATCCTGCGTTGGGCAACAAAGCTAATGAAATACAGTTTAACATTCATGATGCTCATGATGATCTGCTGATTTTTAGTACACATCTAAATTATAACCATGTTGTACAGCTACTTTATGAGCAGCAGAATTTCACCAAAGATCAAAGGTCTCTGTGTGTAGTTGTTTTCAAGCATATTACCATTATACGCTATAAGGCAGGTTTAATGGCCTCCATGAGAAGAAAAGGGTTGTTTTATCGCTTATTATGATAAATTTAAGGGCCATACTTTCTAGAAAAATATTCTTTATGTCTGTTGAGTTCTTCTGTATGGAGGATTATAAAACTTGGGTTGTGTTTCAGGAAGGGAAAGCATTTTTTCTGGTAGATTTTATTTGGCGAGCGCAGGAACCAAAGTTCTTTGTTTGCTGTGTAATGTTGTGGGAAGTTTTGTTTATTTCTGTCAAACATTATTTCTGCTGTTTAAGTTCCCATACATGGGCTGGACATGACTGACAACTAACAATTCTTTCTTTCCAAACTCATCCTTCTATCTCTCCCAATAAAACCAGTTGAACTGAATGACTCTGCCAGATAAAGTCAGGTCACTCTGCCTAAACCAGTGCCAAACAGAGACCAGCCTTTGGACTTTGAGGGGCTGTATAAGCATGAGTGTGCGCACATGTGTGTGTACAACATGTGTAATGGCCTCATACCTGAGAGTGTCTGAATCTCTGTGTGTGCGCGTGTGTTTGCGTGTATATACACACAAGCATATCAATACATTTATCAAACCAATTTGTGTTTTAATAGGAGTTACAATGCACTTTTAGTGAAAAATCACAATTAATATGGTGCCTGATATGTTATATTTATATAGAGAGTCCATGTTTAAACAGTGTGTAGAGTCCAAGCTGGACAGTCATGACAACACAACTCATTACATTTTACAGCCTCTCCTGTATAATGGAACTGCAGACAATAGACTATTGAGTTTAAATCTTCTTCTCTTCAGACCCCCAAGTAAGAAAACCAAGACATAACTAAGACATATGTACGTATCTTTTCAGTCTTTTATTTCCATATAATCCAAGACCAGGAATTCCCTCTGAATTGGTGAGCGTAACCGTAGTTATCATTTTTGGATACAAAACACAAAGACGGGGGCGGGTATACGACATAATTGTTTTCAACTGTAATTAAGTGCAGATTTTTAGCCACAAGTTTCCAACTGCAGGCAAAACTGTTTCTGTGTGTGTCATCATGGGGAAATGTGGTCCTGGAGACACATACTGCAGCGGGAACTACCAGAGAAGTGGTTCTGAGTACTTTGCCAGAGGTTTATCTGTCTGTTGTCTGTCTGTCTGTCGTCTGTCTGTCTGGTTGGCTAGCGTCACAACCGTGCAAGATACTGCCACAAAACTTTATAGGTGTGTAGTTGAGATCAAAACGAAAGAAAAGTTTGAAGATGTAAGTACTCATGTAATAATGTAGAAATGAATACTGAGCACTGAACGGTCGGGGCGTCAACATGTTGACAGGCGTCACAGCTGATCTGATCCCATCAAAAGATCATCTCTAGCTTTTACCTTTTTTAGAAGCAAGTTGAAACATGCATGTGTAAAGTCGATTTTGTGTGTGTATGTGTGTGTGTGTGTGTGTGTGTGTGTGTGTGCATGTGTGTGCGCATGTGTGTGCGTGTTTACTTGACAAAGACAGCCTGTAAAAGAGGAAGAGATCTTTTTCAGTCCAAAAAAAAATCTATCCAGACAGCAGAGAATCTCATCTAAATTGTGCACAACACTTTTATTTCATTGGAAAAGGTTTACACTGTCACATTAGTGTAAGTTGTTGTTAGTTGCCTTTTCGGTGTACCACCATTTTTAAAGATCTGTCAAAACTATAAAAATGTTTAAAAAATGTTAAAAAGTCAAAACTTCTAATCTGGACATGAATGAAAAAAAGAAAAGTCATGTTTTAACAATGGTGCTATTTCTTGTGTCGGCTCTTTGTAGCATGATGGCACCAGTAATATTTTGTATAAATTTTGTTTATGTGACATCGGTGGAATAAGATTCAGTTCAGTGGCATCACAAGACTGATTTTGTAAAAACTGTAAAGAAATTAAAAAGACCAAAAGCAGAGTGAGTGAATTTTGGAAAATCCCTGAACAGTGTGTTCAAATGTTGTTCCTGTTGTCATTCTTGCATCACATCACTACATATGTCTGAACCTGTATGTAATCTTCCCACTACATTACAGGAAGTAACGACACTTTCAGTGCATCACTTGAGTTGTTGTAAATGGTGGATGGCCAGTAACTGGAAACATGGAACCATTTACCCTTCCACGGAAATGTGCTTCACGGTGTGATTAATCAGTGGTGCGTGATGTTGTGTTTTGAATATCGGAGTAAAAGCACAGTTTGTGGGATTTACGGGTGTCTAGTTGTGTCTGACTTTGTGTGTGTGTGTGTGCGCGTGTGTGTGCGCGTGTGTATGTGTGAGCGGATCTTGGAACGTGCGTCAGCATGAAAAGAGAGAACCAATAGTTTCTACAGGTCTGACTCATCACACTCTTATCTAAACTCAAGGCTACACTCAGCCCATCAGAGTCTGCCTGCTGTTCTCTATTTAGCCCAGTGGTGTAGGTTGTATGTGTGTGTGTGTGTGTGTGTGTACGGGTGTGTGTTTTTGTGTGTGTGTGTGTCTTTTTGTTTGTGTAGGTGTGGTGGTGGGGTAACAGCAAAAGGCCTTGAAAATCCCTCTGCTAAGACTCCCCACAGCTGCTGAGGACACAGGGGACAGTGTGCACTGTGTGTGTGTGTGTGCGTGCGTGCGTGTGTGTGTGTGTGTGTGCGTGCGTGCGTGTGTGTGTGTGTGTGTGCGTGCGTGCGTGTGTGTGTGTGTGTGTGCGTGCGTGCGTGTGTGTGTGTGTGTGTGCGTGCGTGCGTGTGTGTGTGTGTGTGTGCGTGCGTGCGTGTGTGTGTGTGTGTGTGCGTGCGTGCGTGTGTGTGTGTGTGTGTGCGTGCGTGCGTGTGTGTGTGTGTGTGTGCGTGCGTGCGTGTGTGTGTGTGTGTGTGCGTGCGTGCGTGTGTGTGTGTGTGTGTGCGTGCGTGCGTGTGTGTGTGTGTGTGTGTGTGTGTGTGCGCGCGTTATAACGTGCAAGCATAAACGGTACATACACCTGACAGTTGCTGCAGTTATAGTCGTTGCTATTTTCCCCAAATATGATCCAGAATCGGCAGCGTCACCTTCACAACCACGCTCATCCCTGTAGGCGCTTGATGTTGTCTCTAATTGAAAAGTCATTACGATAACAAATACATGTGAAATGAAAGTCACACATTACCAGCTGTTCCAATATCATGTTGAGGGAACCGCTCTCCGTCGGTCATGTGCTCTATGCTGTAAACAGGCTATTAACATGTGCCATCTGGTGGACATTTGATTCAAAATGCCTCGCAGTCCTGTAAGTGTTTGCATTTTTAGCAAAGCTTTAAGCCCTAACCCTTCAAACATCCACCTATATTCCAATAAATTATTATGATTCATTCTCATTTGGTTTGACTCCATTTTATTTAATAGTGTACCAATGGACATTTAAGCATCTGAAAAATCTAATTATTGAATAACTGAATTATGATTCCTTGCATGCCATCTCTGGCCGACTCTATAGACCTGCCAGTAGCTACCAGAACATGAGCCTGTGTGTGTGTTTTCTGCTGGTCCTCGATTTGAACACAAAACCCTCTGATCAGGAGTCTGACACTTCAACATCACACTACAAAGTCTTTCATTTGTACTCTAACCAAAAAGGGTGAGTACAAACGATATAGATGTAATTCATTTTGAGGCTTACTTGCGGTCCTCAAGCGCGGTGATCTCGTGTTTGACCTGGTGGAACTCTCTCGCCATCCTGCAGTGTTCCTTGTAAACCTGAACGCTCTCCCTCAGAGACACACAGGGGGGCACTGGCTGCGAGAGGTCGGAGAGATGAAGCACTGGTTTAGGATCCTTTCAAGCTATTGTGCAATGCAGATACAAAAACACAAGCAACACTATGTACAAACCCGGACTTGATATTTTTGGAACAGCGCTCTTAAAAACAATGCAACTAATGATTATTATCAACCTCGTTTAATGTGCTGAGTATTTCCTACATTAAATGATCAACCGTTTAGTCGTGAAAGGTCCGAGGTGACATCTTCAAAGATGGATTTTGTCGGAGAAACAGTCCACAAATGAGAAAAAGCAGCAAATCCGAATCCAAAGTTTTTGCCAAACAACAAAATTCAAACAATTAATTGATTATCAAAATAGCTGGTGATTCATTCTCTGCTGACTGAACCATCAGCTAATTGTAAAATTTCCCTCTTCCAAGGTAATGTTTCTAATTATAACTTGAGCTAAAAGGCTGCTAAAGGGCTGACCGTGTAACCTTTCCCACAATGCCCCGCAGGCGCCTCTGTCCCATACTTTGATCCACGGCAGGGCATCTCTACCTCGACCATGAGAGGCGCACACAGGTCTGAACATAGCTGCAGATATGACCGATAAAACACGAGACTGCTGTGTTCGAGGATATGAAGTAAGACTTAATATCCACACCACTTGATGATGATGATCTCTACAATTGCTTTATTCCTCCTTGATAGCAGGAGTCCGAGTGGCACGCTCACCATCTTGTGTTAACCCTCTTTTTATACAGTGTAATAGTACAGTGTATGGCAGCTATCATTCACTGGCTTACTACTGTTCTCATTTGATACTCTTAAGCAACATGCACTTTACATGACCCTGGCACTGGCACTGGTTGAAGGATAATTCAATGACAACACTAATAGCAGCGTGAGCGCACACAGTGAAAACACTGATTCACAGGCCGGATAAATTAAACCTGAGCTTCTCCTTATTAAGAGGTTCAGCCCTGAACAGAACAGGGGCTTAAAGCAAAATCCACTCTCAGTTTTTACATCATCAGCCTTTTGTTTGTCAGGTTTACTCCACTGTTTGTTTTAGGTTAATTGAGGTTAATCTTTGATCTACTCATTTATAGTTTTATTTTTTCTCTCCACCTCTTTTTTCAGTCAGTGGTTCCCAGAGAGAGAGAGAGAGAGAGAGAGAGAGAGAGAGAGAGATTTCTCTGGGGGAAGTGGGTTTGAATTCAGAGGTGAGCTTGCTCGCTTGTTTGTACAATGGGCTTCATGAAGAGAGCAATAACGATAACACTAGTGAGCAAAAATATTCAAAATCAAAAGTATGTTTAAAAGGGTGAATTAATTTGGCCTTTTTGACTACGTATTAGCATAAGAAAAAAAAGACACCATCAAACCACAAAAACAGAGTCAGACATGAAATGCAAAACGATAATAGCTTCTTTTTTTTCTTTTTTTTTTGATTGCCTTCTCTTCTGTATTGTGCCTGTCCTCTGTTGTGCTGCTCTGCCAGAGGCGTGTATTCGATGTGATGGGGGCGATGTGACGTGACGCAACAGTCTGTTCTGTTTACCTGTAATCGCTGTTCAAGATCCGGGAAAGTCTGAGCGAGGTCCTCCACATCTTTGACATCTATTGAAACAGAACACATTGTACAACTGATTATTGTACAAATAATAATATTTAGAGGGCCATTTATTAAATCTTGAGCTAAAAACAAAGAATAATCAATGCAATGATATTGTAATACATGTTGTTATACATATTGTGACGTATTAAAACACAATATTGTTAACGATACCGACTATTTCTACTTTTTTCAATGGTTTTGCATTGCTACAAGTTGCATATGTTCTACTGCTGAATGTTTTTCAAATCATATTTATATATTCAGATCTTCTAGTGGAGTAAAAACGTCAGGAAACTCTAACTGTAAAAATACTACAATGATGAGTAAAAGTCCTGCACTCAGTAAATGTACAGAAGTATCAGCAACAACACATACATCAAGTATTATCATAAAAAGACTTATTATATAGAACGCTACCGTTCAGTGTGGTACCAAAGCTTATTATATTTTGCATTAACATGTAAGGGTCATGTTAATGCTGTTGCTCTGAGTTTCTGTACTTTCCACCACTGGCTTTTGGATTGTTTTCCCTTTCCTCCAGACAGTTTTCATTTCCATTAATTTAAGCACTCAACGATAATCGGCCTGCAGACACTCGACACTTGTGTGAGATAGAATATTTTGTCAAATTTAAGTTACACTCACGAGGCGACTGCATGCAGCGATTGCGTTGAAAACATCGGGTCATTGGAATTTATCCTTGTAACTGCCACTGTTGGAGGACAATGTGAAGTCTGTGTTTTCTCTAATGAATACGGTTTCTCTTCAGCCCTGTGATTGACGACACACAAGCTTCAGCTTCCCTGCAGGTTGATTTTTTCGGAGCGCGCTTAATGTCTGTTTGCATGAAAAATAGGATATCATTCCCATCCTGTTTGAAAAGTTATCTCAGCTTCATTTGGTCAATCAACACAGTGCATAATGTCCTGTTGTTGTCTCAGTTTAGATGTTTTCACATCCTTATGTCCCTCATGTACAGCCAAGTGACTTCCTCTGCAGGCAGTTCCTTTAATGCATTTCTCCGCCTAATAAAATGGCTCAAAATGAAACACTATAGGGGCCTCTTATATGACACAACAACGTAGCAACACAGTGCTACACTTATAAATGAGCCACGTCCTCTTGCTGAGCAGCAGTAATGAGCTGTCACACTGACAGACATGCAGGGTAAGAACACAGAGGGACGACTAGCAGGCAGACTAAACAGAGAGAACAGACAGGCCAGATGTATGGACAGAGAGGGATTTAGACAGACAGACAGCCAGACAGACAGCCAGACAGACAGACAGACAGAAACAGACAGGTTGTCTGCACCAGCCTCTGACTCGCCAGTAATGTCCCCCTGGAGGTGGAACACATGTGGAGAATCCTGGGATGATGCAACCTTCTAAAAGCGGGAGTATTAGTGGATCAGCCTGCAGCCAAGGGGCCAATTATGATGTGGAATAAATACAGTTCTCATGCTTAGGATTGACACAACGTGGGGTTATAACTATGCATGGCATTAAGTCATGAAGGGCCTAGAGGATGAACCCCAGACGCTGCGCAGGTCTCAGCACCCCCACCCCCCACCCCGCTGAGAAGCACGAGTTCAAAGAGACAACAACATGATCGCCTGGGGAATATCCAAAGTTTGATTTTGGAGCTCAGGGTCGTAATGTGTCTGGAGCTACAGCTAAAACTAAAATAAGGCATGCAAGCATGTTGCCAACTAAAGCGGATCCTGTGCAGTCGCTTAAGATTTAACTTAAGAGTGAACCAGACCACAACTAAACCAAACATCAGTGGAAAATGAGGTGAAACTAACTGGAATCCACATAAATGGATGGTTGAGGTTGTTAAGGAGAGAAGAAGAAGCTGGGAGTAAAAGAACAGCAATGAGTAAGAAATGAAATAAGGAGTCCAGTGCGTCTCTGCTCAGTCTCAAATGTGAGTGTGCTGTCTCTACTGCAGCTCTTCATCTCACTTCCTAAGAAAAAGACAAGGGGTGGGGGGGTGGGGGGTCAGGGATGGGTGGAGTAGGACTGCAAGTGTTAACTGCTTATAAATATAGGCCAGTGTTCTAAAAGCTGAACAGTGAATCAGGCAGCAGGACACTGTTAGTATTAGAGGAGAAACCTGACTCTGCCATTGCATAGCTGCAGCTGCCATCCCAGTGCCTGGCCCCACTGCAGTAAAACATCCTGACAGACAGCACCTAGCTCCATAGGTAGGGTCCTATGAGTATGTGTGTGTGTGTGTGTGTGAGACACTTAGGGACAGACAGTGTGGATTGTGCATGTTTTGACTCAAGACTAAATAATAGAATAATCCAAGTCACAGTAACTACGGTGCAACTGACCGTGAGGGTGCATACATGTGGCGTCTTGCAAGTGCACAGCTGCAGACAACGCGTGTGTGGTTTGTTTTTAATATGATGCGGGTCCTACAGAAATAGAGGGAGCACCTGTCTCAGCTACAGCATAGAAGAGATGAACACAGTTAAAGTGGTGGGGCGTGATGGGGTGGTGGGAGACAGAGTCAGGGGGGGGGGGTGGGGGGGGCTGCTACAGGCAGATTGTGGCTGGTCTGTTTTGGTGGGAGGAATGTTGTGCATGTGTTCCACACATACTGGAAATGCAGTGAGAGTAGAGTTCCAGGCTTCGTCAGGTGTTAAATGATCGCTTGAGTAATAGGTGCAACTACACTCAAAATAAGATGTTACCATGATTTGAGATGGAAGACAGGTGTGTGTGTGTGTGTGTGTGTGTGTGTGTGTGTGTGTGTGTGTGTGTGTGTGCGTGTGTGCGTGTTTACCTGATGTGTCGTCGAGGCTGAAGGCGATTCTAACTTCAGATTTATCAGGAGACACTCGTCTGGTTGAGGTGATCATTTATCCCTTCACGAGGCCACAGGCACAAAACAGAGCTGTTAGCACAATCAAAGGGGTCTCATGAAAGACGAGAGATGATGTAATAATGGCACGATTAGTGGGTCAAGTGAAAACGGGCAGCAGTTTTAATAATCTATTAATATTTCAAGAGATTTATCATGCAAATCAACAGTTTCCAGCATCTGAAATGTGATGATTTCCTGCCTTTCTCTCATTGTACATGCCTGTAAATGGACGTCTGGCTTTTAAACTTGGACAGAACGAGCAGTTTGAAGAGGTTCAGAGAAATTGTGGAGGGCATTTTTTCACTATTTTATGAATTTTTAAAACCAATCAATTAATTGGTTGATCAAAATTAATCGGTAGTTACAGTTTCAGCCCTAAATTTGATTTCTATTTGGTGTCCAATCTGGCATGGAAGATTTTTTTAATTCCAATTTCAGTCAGTAAGAGAAACTAAATCGTAAACTCAGCAGGTGATCCACCAGAATGAAAGTCTGCAGACCCCTTTGATAACGCATGTGATTAAACCACAGCTAGGAAAGTATGAAGCCACACACACACACACACACACACACACACACACACACAGCCAGTGGTCAGTTTCATCATGCATTTAGAGTTGCAGAGGGATTAAATAATTAGGGAGCTCTGACAGGCTGGCTCTGAGGTCTGCATGCCCCCTTCCAGTGAAGGTACATGCTTTTTATATCAGAGCATTTGCCTCCTTTAACCCTGGTAAACCCTCTGTATCACACAGCAAACCTCGATGACCTTCCACACCATCACATAATACTATAAGCCTATATCTTTTTTATGAATGTCTGTCTCAGTTGTTGAAAATGGTTTAAAGATCCATTTTGGATGCTGTACACACAGATCAAAACGTGCTGTAATAAAATACAGCACAGTATTAGTGAGTGAAATAGTATATTAGTACACATATAGAAGGCATATAGTCCACAATATGATGGAGAGCAGTATGGACTATCTCCAGTTTGCACTGGGAAGCTGTAAAGGACCGATCTGGGCCAGCAGGCCATTGTTACCTGAAGCAGCTACGAACACGACCCAGGAAATTCAGTTTGATGAAGTTTAAAATCAGGTGGCAGTATAGGCAACGTCCTCGGTCCCGATTGTTGTTTGCTCCCCGTCGGACCACAGCTGAGGTCTCTTCAGGGAAAAAAAAAAAAGCGCAGCTCGTCTCTCTGCGCAAATCCCAAAGCCAAAGATGGCACAAGTATCTCTCCTCAGGAGCTGACCTCCACTTCCCTTCTTCAGACTCCAACTATATTGTTCTGTATTCTGAAGTTTTCACTGTGAAGGCGTCCGCGACACTCAAGAGGAACTCCAGCAGCTCAACTTCGCGGGGGACATGGACACGTTATCCGGCCGGACCCTCGCAGCCACGCGGCGCAGAGCAACACAACAGGGCGCAGGCAGGGGAGGAATGCCGTCCGCTGTCCCCCCTGTGGCGGCTCGGGTCCAATTAAATGTCTCAGATGACATGACTTTAGCCCGCAAAAATGCCCATAGCTCCGGCACTGCTTTGAGTGACACGGTCATGCCGCTGGGATGGTCTTTGGCTGTGCAATAGCTGTGCAATGAGGCAGTTGCTCAGAATGAACATCTCATGTTAGAATAGCTCTTGGGGAAGAAAATAGAGAGAACCCCCCCCCCCCCCCCCCCTCCTTGTGTGTTTATCTTGTTAGAGGGAGGTTTTTTTTGGGGGGGGGGGCTCTGCGGGGTAAACACACCTAAACGCAGGTGATACGACTTTCTTATACTTTAGGGGAGTTTCTTGCATTACAGCACATAGATACACTGTCATTCATGGTGGTGTTTTTAAAAAGAGTACTCCAAAGAATTTGGGAGTCAGTTTGGTCACCACAGGAATCAGAGGAGACCGGGGATGGTTGTTAACAGGGACTGTTGAATCACGTGATCAATTTCATGCGTGACCACTTCCTTCCTGACCTTGCATGTGAAATTGTATTGTTGTGTGAAGAGGTCTTTACAGCCAGAAGACTGGTTTTCATTGTTTTGTTTTGTTTTGTTTTGTTTGTTTGTTTGTTTGTTTTTTGGGGGCGGGGGGGTTGGACCAAGTCTATATTTTGATTCACAGATAAA